CTATTTTGATAGCATCATGAGAGTCTTGGTAGACAGTATCAGTTTGCTTTCAGGGTGAAATTCAAGGAGATCTTTTGTGTGTTAGTCAAAATGATGGTACTTCAGTCAAAATGATGGTACTTCACAGTATTGTTTTCTGCTGACATAAGGTAGCTAGCAAGTATAAATATTTAAAGATTGCTAAATAATAAAGAAAACATGTTAGGATTTAACAGTGCTGACTTTCCTTTGATACTTTGTGTTCCATATGCACTAAAATTAAATGCATTGCCTTAAATAGAGAATGGGTTTGTAGTAATTGTTTTGCAACTGAAGAGAAAAATATTAGTGGAACAGCTAGTGAAATAGGCAGGCAAGTGCATGCTTTCCTTGTACTTCTGTATGCTTAACTGAAAAACAGGAAACCATGCCTGGAAAGAAATCTGAAACCTTTCAATCAGTATTAAATTATTGAAATGGAACTGAAGGCTGACTGCCTAACTTGCTGCTTTCTAATTTGTGGTCAGCTTGTTTGTGTACTCTATTTTTGTAGAGCCTAAATGTATGCATTTAAATCGTGAACTTATATTCAGGTCACAGTACATTCACAGTCATAGAAAAAACAAGTTTTGTGAGAGGAGAGGGAATTTTGGGGGGGCGAAATTGAAACATACACGTCATTTTATCAGACCTAAACTCTTCCACTGTAAGCACATAACATATTGTAACATATAGCAGATTAACTTGTATTGTGTTGGTACACTTATTAAATTTAACAGTACAGATGTTTTTTATTTAGTCTTTAATTCTAAATATTCCCATTCCTGGAGATGGAGCTGCAAACACTTGTACCACTTAAGTACATGTTCTCCAGTTTTTCCCAGATGAAAGTAGGGATAGTCCTATGCACAAAGACCTAGGAAGGGCTGGAACTCATTTGTTACAAGGGCTGGATCTGACATAAGTGGGAATTTGTGGGGGCAGGTCATACTTGTCATAAAATGTAAGGCCAGGTAGTAGAGATATAAACTTTATAACAGATACAAACCCAATTAAAGATATTAATTTTTTACTTAAAATACAAATATGCTTAAAACTCTTGCAATATTTTGTTTATTTAACAGTCTTTGATAACTGACACCTCCCACCCACCCCCTTTAAAAGATGCCTGCCTAAAATTGAAAGTTGGGGGAATAGTGGGATTTGGAAATGCAATTTTAAAAAATCAAGAAAAAGCACAAGGATCACAGCAGAAACTAAGATATAAACTAAAAATATAAAACTCTCTGAGCCTAGGAACATGAAATGGCTGGGCATTGCAAGCTTCTCCCCTCCCCCCAGGTCTACTCAGAGTGGCAGTGGCTCTCCAGTGTAATATCTCCCTTTAGCTGTGGGTTCCCAGGTCAGAGTATTCACTTAGGCATCCGTTCTCAGGTCCATTAAGCAGAGACAAGCGGGCTTAAAACATCAACCCTATATTTGCAAGGAGACAACTCCATCAAGCAGCAGCTTCAGCTATTCAAACACAGGAAAGTGAAACTACTTGACCTCCACTCCATTGAAATACATTGCAGCACAGACAAAGTTGCAAAGAAAATCAAAATGGATTTCCCATTAAGATAGACTACTCTGGGACTGGAATGACAGCCACCAGAATGAAATGACAGTCCCTGGGAGTAGCAGAAGCATTCTGGGATTGGAATGAGAGCCCCCAGAGTGGAATTCCATTCCCAGAATGCTGCTGCTACTTCCAGGGGCTGTCATTCCACTCTGCACCCAGTCATTCTAGTCCCAGAACACTTGCTAGGCACCGTCATTCTACTCTGGGAGCTGTCCTTCCAGTCCCAGAGTACTGTTTCAATTGCTAGAAACAGTCCTAGAATAGTCTGGGTGCATAGACCTTAATGGAAAAATCCATTCTGTATTTTCTTTGTAATTTATAAGCCCAGAAGAGCTTCCTTTTTGAAGCGGGCAAAGACAAAGAGGAAGGGAGCTAGAAACTTCGGCAGCCTCAAGCTTCAAAGGGTGAGGACAGGAGGGGGAGGAGGGGGAAGAAAAGAGCCGTGGGACTCACTAAAGCCTTAAGTTTGACACCCTTGGGCTGGAGTGTTTTGCAGATCTAGCAGACATGACTTGGTAGACAGTTGTGAATCGGGCTGGGGAGAACAGAACTCAGATTGTAAAAAGATTGTACCTGCAGGTCAACTAAGCCACTGCAAGGCAATTCAGATATATAATATTCTGTTGTGTGAGTAGAATTTTACTTACTGATTATAGGCTCCAACCCCTGATAAAGAAATGTAGCATGTATATCACAAGGCAGTTTGAGAACTTTCCTGATTGAGGAATATTGGAGTAGAGTTAAAGGTGCCTAACCCAAGGCTATTTATTGGGTTAATATGGAACTATTAAATAGAACACGTCTCCTCCTTAATACTCATATCCAGCCCTGTTTTGCTAATGGGGAACAATGTAGCTTGGTATAGTTTTCATAGGTCACTTGGTGCATCTGTGCCAAATATTTGAGCCGTGCATGTACACAAACACACCAGTTTCACAGATGAGTCTAATTTTACAGATGGGGAATACTGAGATTCAGGAATAAATGATATGCTGAAGTCCATTCATTGTGGTTTTTAAACACGACTCCTCCATCACTATTAGCACCTTTGTAGATTGTGGCTGCCAAGATCATGGCATTCAATAAATTGGTTGTGGATTAACTCTTCGTAACAGATATCTCTAATACCATATAACTCAGTTTTACTAGTAGATGTTCCAAAACATCTGAGTTTAAATATAAAGACTTTTGTATCAGTAGGCATAAGAAAGGGTTTAATTGGCATACATGTAGTAATTCAAAAATTGGCACCCCCTGTCTCCTTGGGTCAACAAACACATTTGAAAGGTAAGCAACTGGACCTTCCACTGTCTTCTGAGGCTAGAACATAAGCCTCAGCATACAAACTCACATGATCAGTCACTGTTCCCATTCCAGGGCTGGTACACATACAAAATCTCCCTCATATCACTGATGTTTCTTATGTGTGTTCAAGAAATTGTGAAAGCAAGAAAATGAGGAAGCAAGAATTGTCCAGTTGCCTGGAAAATTGAATGGGTGGAATGTTGGAGCTACACTGTGCAGGAATACAGGCTTTGAGATGGGAATGGAAGAGGAGGAGATTATGGGACTTTGTTGGCTGCCTTATGCAGTGATGTCAAAGACAGGAATCAAGCAGCTTTTCCTTCAGCTGTGCTTGCAAAATTTCTGTTTAGGATTTTGGGGTGGGCATGAAGGAGAAAGTGTGAAAGAGAGCAAGCACATGCCTTCTTCCTGAGGGGTGATGCTCTGGCTGCTGCTTTGCTTCTGGCAGCAGCAGAGTCTCAATGTTCAAAAAGTCAGAATGCTCTTGTTATGAGCATTCCTGTCCTCTCTTGCAGGATGTGGCTTGCTTCTGTAGATATAAAAGACACTTAATTAAGATGCTGGGAACAGACAATTAGCGAAGTACAAGCAAAGGACTTGCAAGGACTTGCGGGGGGCATCTCATTTCCCCCTTCCCCACTGCTTTCTCTTTCCATTTCTTGAAAGCCCCCATATTAACTTCCATTTTCCTGCTTCCTCTCCTTCCCATATTATTACTTCTGTCCTCAGGATGGGTGAAGCCAGCACCAGAAATAATTTCTAAACTTAGCTTTAGAAGTTTTCAATAAATATAACTGGATTAGATTTAGATGAAGGTGGAGTGAAAACTGGGGAAGAAACATTAACAATTTGAGATAACGCAGGTGATACCACATTACTGGCAGAAAACCGGGAAGACTTGAAACAACTGCTGAATAAGGCTCAAGCAGAAAGTGCCAAAGTAGGATTACAGCTGCACATCAAGAAGACAGAAGTAGTGACTACTGGGGGATTACACAACTTTTAAGATGATAAGAAAATGGAAGATTTTCTATTCCTTAGCTTCATCATCAACCAAAGAGAAGACTGCGACCAAGAAATCAGAAGGAGATTAACACTGAGAAGGGCAGCCATAAAGGAGCTAGAAAAGATTCTTAAGTGTAAGGATGTGTTGCTGCCGATCATGATCATTCATACCATTGTATTCCACATTACTATGTATGGGTGGAGAAAGCTGACAGGAAGAAAGCTGATTAATTTCAAATGCAGTGTTGGGGTTTTTGTGGATACCATGGACCCCCAAAAAGCCAAATAAATTGATTCTTGATTAAATCAAGCTTGAACTCTCCTTAGAAGCTGAAGTGACTTAACTGAGGCTATTGTACTTTGGTCGCATTCTTCGGTCACTGGAAAAGACAATACTGCTGGGAAAAGTAGAAGACATCAGGAAAAGAAGACCAAACATGAGCTGGATTGACTCAAGGAAGTCATGAACCTCAGTTTGTAAGACCTGAGCAAGGCTGTAAAAGAGAAGCTGTTTTGGAGGTCATTAATTCATAGGATCACTATAAATCAGAAGTGACTTGATGGTACTTAACACACACACACAGGCTTTTATATTTTAAATATCCTAACACTTCATGGCTCTATTCAGGTGCAAGAACAAAACATGCATCATTGTTACACGAATGAGCCTTGTAAGGCTTTTCCTTGACTGTGACTTGGACATTGAAGACTTTCTGGATCCCAGAAAACAGTTCATAGTTTTGACCAATCCAGATGTCGTAATGAACTGTGGTTTGTTGAGAACGTGGAGTCTCCAGTCTTTCAACTCAGAGGGAGGAAGGGGCATGGGTCTGAGGTCTTCTGAAGCTTGTTACCATAATGAGAAACTATGGTTTGATACATCTGAATATAATGAATATGTATTAACGTTTCAAGGTTCACTGTTACATGAATGAAATGTTTGTGCACATGTGGGAGAGCAAGTACAAGTACAGTATCTACACAGTGTTATAGGAAAAACATACTCATGTTAAATTTATAGTGCTTTGAAATAGTTCTAGCAAAACTCATGTAAGAACTTAACTCATGTGAGTATTTTAATATTTTTCAGACTGCAAATGGATATATCTTGTTTTTTAATCTTCTGTCTGCAAGAGACAAGTATCTTTATGAACCGATTTATCCCAGGTAAGTCTATTGTAATTTTTTTTTTTGTTTCTTTCCATTGTACATGCTAAAACAGCTTGAAATAAACTCCCATTATAAAAATGTTTTCTAAAATACATGTACAGTATTTTGGTGTATCCGTGAAAAGTTACTGACATGTGAAAAGCTGTTGTTAGGGGGAAAAATACACCTAATGGTCCTATGCTTTTTTGGCTGATACTTAAAACATCTGAGAATTACAGCAGTGCAATTTTCAGCAAACCTGTTAGTGGAATTAAACTAAGTTTTATTATAAGGGTTTAAAAAGCCATGTTGCTATTTGATTGAAGCTTCTGAGAAAAAATGCAGTGACCTGGTTAGTTTAGGGTCTTTCTTGAGAAAGAGGAAGTAGATACAAACACTTGCTATAACCTTTGCTGTTTTATCACCTTGTATGACCAGCTGTGTACTAATTACCTTAAGTTTCTGGCTTTGAAGTGTTAGGATCCGTCTCTTCTTGGCATGTTGCACAAATGGTTTGTACTGCCTTGTTGATCTAATAAGGGCAAAATTTGTGGCTACCTCTGCTTAACTCCTGTGTGAATTCTTCTGCAGCTTTCACAAGAAGTGGGCGGATGGGATTTTTGGCTGTTCCCCATTCTGGTAGTAGCCCTCATTCCACACTGTAAGGACCCTCCAACCTGTTTTGGGAAGCAAAAGAAGAAGGGAAAGTAGCAAAAATCCATTTGTCCATTTCCAGTTCATCAGGATCCAACCCAATGTATTCTCCTTTGAAATGACAAGCAAAAAGAATGTGTGTTTGCAGCTTGTGAAGTGGATGCGATTTGTCAGTGCCCTTATAAAATAAGGAGAAATAGTTGTTTTCTTCTGTTTGTGGATTTCTTCTTAAATTGGCAACACTCAACAAATGTTGCAATATAATTCCATAGGTTCAAAAGTGTCATATCGTTAATTGTGGGAGAGGATATAAAAGTGATTGTTTCAATCATTTCCCATTAAATGCTGATCCCCCCCCCCCCCCGCACATTCTGTTTCTGTAATTTGCAGTATATATTATCATTGCTTATTTGAGCTTTTACATTGGGATAGGCTAATACCATGTTAATTTTATTAAAACATAAGAGAGAGATTCTTTGAGGGCTTGCTGTCTTTTATGGTACAGCAACAGCATGGCAAAGTTGTGGTCATGATCTGGTCTTTTCCTGTCTTTGAGGTTGTGTTCTGCCTTTTGTTAATCTTTTGTTTCGCTGTATTTAAAAAGTTAAATTCTTTTCAAGCTGTTGGCTTCCTTTCCTGCTTTGGAGCATGCATCAACCCATATATTTATTAAAAGGGATCGTAGGAGGAACAGCAACATGATTAACCCATATTAGCAAGCTGGTCATCCCATGTAGATGACATCATCCCTGTAGATGTTCTATTACATTTGCAGACAAGGTTTATAAAAACTGATATCCAGATGCAGTATACTTTGGTTGGCTGTGTGGAAAGGCCTTCAGGGATTTGATGTGGAAACTGGTTTCCTGGAGCGTTACAAAGAGTTCTTGATGGCAGTAATAGTGTTGGGCCTTAAGGGTTTGTTGACTTGTTCTCCTAGACTGTTCTACTCAATTCTTTGGAGGAAAGCTAAAGAATAGATAGCAGTTGATATTTGGATGGAGCCAAGACTATATGTGGCACTGCTCCAGCTTCCTTCTAGTTCAGATTGGAACTTGGAACATTGTCAGTGCTGGCCATAAGCCCACGCTCTGAGATGCTGCTCTCAAATATGTGTACAAAGAATGCACTTCAGTCTTCAGCCTAAATTTTAATATGATGGCAGAAAACCGATTAAAATTTAGAAAATGAAGCCAAATAGCATTAGAAACTGATGTTTAGCAAAGAAAAGAAATTGCATAAACTTCTGGGAGCAGGCATATCTTTTGGTATTAAAGTATGTGTAAAGGTATAAATAGCAGTAACTATGTGTACTTTTGCTTTTAAAACATTTTATCAAAAAATCCCCAAGGGTACATACAGAGGGTTCAATCCAAAGTAGAAGAGATTTACAAGTTGTTTTCTACAGAACACTTGAGAGAGAGAGTTTGTGCAATACTGTAACTAACAAGTAGGTTCTTTATATTTCTCTAGCTCCCACTTCAACAAGAAGTTGTGGAGGAACATCTTTGGATTTAGTGTGCTTCTTTTGCACAGCACTCTAGCATGAGGTCTTAAATAGCTCTTATCATTTGAGGAGAGGGAGACATCCTGGTGTTTGGGAACTCCTTCTCCCACAATCCCTGAAGGCAGGATATTTGGTCATTTCTTCCCTCCCCTGATGAGAGGAGTACCTCCTCCTTCTGTTCTTTTCCTGCCTCCTTTGCATGTGCAGGACTCAGAGGAACTCCAGTTACCTCTTGGCCTCTCTTTGATGTGGAGTTACTATTCAATCATCATTTGTTCCCCCCATTGTCTTACTGTGTATTATTCTATTGTCTTCATTGGAGGGGAGGAACCCTCCTTGTTTGTCCGTCCACCTCCAGCTCTGCTTGAGTGGCCAGTCACCACAGAAACCCCACAGCTATGTCATTTGCATCTCAAATAGCCTGAATTTGAAATGGCCTGCACACTTGCAGGTGATTTAGGGGCCATCATGCCAGAGGGCTGCAGAAGCAAAAGTGGAGGTGTAAATTGGCCACTTGGAATGAAACAATAGAGCATCAGGCTGAAATGGAAAGTACTTCAGCTGTGGTGTTGAATTCTGGCACCAACCCCACCCTATGCCTTGTTGCAGCAGTTGCCAGCAGCCTGCGTCAGCTGCCTCTTGCCTGCAGCATAAACACACTGATCAAGAGGTGGTGCGTTTCCTGGTCAGTCCTGCTTCCCTGGGCCCCTCAGGAGGGGATGGAGATTAGGGATGGGCACGAACTGGGAAAATGAAGGTTCTTCACGAACTATGAACCGGGACAAACCTCCCCTGACTTGCAAACTGGTTCATTCATGAGGCTCATGGATCTTCCCTCTCTCCTTTCTGCTGATGGCAGCTCCCCAAGGCCAGCAGAATGAAAGGGGGAAGATCTTGCAAAAGCCATTTCAGCGATCCTTTTTGCTCTCTCCCCGCTTGGGGAGGTATCCTTAAGAATCATTCAGAATTAGATGTGCAAGATTATTTGCAGTAAAACAATTCGTAATCTGGCTTCCATTGTTACCATCCCAACTTCCAATCTTATAGCTGCATTTGACACATTCATTGGTGTCTGAAGTACTGCTCTTAGGAATTTGAGTTGTGTTCTTTCCATCAATGTCCTATTCGCTGTAATAGCAGAGCTTCATATAGGATTTGTACGAGAGATTTCATCGAAAATAATTTAATGGCACCTGCCACATTTAGCCCACCTCTGGTCCAATGGAATTTTTGTATAGTGCCAGCACTCTTTTGTGCATTAGAGGAAACATACTTTGTATGTGAACTTTTCATCCTATTATCCTGTATGATCACACGTAAATATTTATAACAGTGCACCTGTTCTGTGCAAACAAACGCATACCAGTATGTAACAATATGTTACATATTGATGGCACATTGTCCCTGACAAGGCAATTCTATTTGCACTCTTAGGACTTAAAGTGGAAGGTACATAATATTTCCAGTTCATACAACAACTTCTGACACAAGGCCAAATATATTTGTGGCCCCAAATAAAAACTTTTTGGTATGTCATTCAATTCCATATTGGAACATTCCAATTTTGGTCCGATTTTAGTTATTATTTATTGTTAATTGCCTAAACATGTGTTACAGGGACTCTGTAGCTTGTTATATTTTGCACTATTTGACCTCTGAAGAGGCTCTTGTGAGCCAAAACGCATCAGATCATACATACACTGCTCTCTTTTTTGTGTATTTGTAACTTTGTACATTTTATGAGGCTTTATTTGGGCCCCTAGTAGGATTTTATATGTCTTTGTAATAAACAGTCTTTTGTACACTTACTTATGTTTTTAACTTTTGGCCCTCAGTTGGTTTTCTAAACTTCCTTTGGATGTTTGTACTTTGTTGGTTTAGATTTCCCCCCCTCTTTTTTGGGGTGACTTTGGGAGTGGAGCCAGGAGACTCTGGGGTGGCACCTCACAAGGATGTGATATCACAAAGTGATGTCCTGTGATGTCACTTCCAGGTCAAAGGTCAGGTGATGGCACTTCCTAAGCCCCACCCCTTCTGATGATGTCACATCCTGTACCAAAACCCACCCCTTCCTGTGATGTCACTTTTGGGGCACTCCCCCCAACCCTGCCTCTTCCTCCAAATTCAGCTTGCGGCTCTCGAGCATCTGACATTGTGTCTATGTGGCTCTTACATGAAGCAAGTTTGGCCACCCCTGGCTTAAAATGTTATAGATCTATACAGAGGTTCCACTACCTTGCAGCTTCCTTCAGCTGCCCAGGCCAGCACATGGCAAAGGCCATCTCCTCTAGACCTCAATTAAGAGTTTGTCTGCTCTGATGGACTCAGCACCAAAGAGACCTTCCTCCTTGCTTTCAGTTTGGTGTAGTGGTTAGGAGCACGGACTTTAATCTGGGAGAACCGGGTTTGATTCCCCGCTCCTCTACATGCAGCTGCTGGGTTACCTTAGGCAAGCCACAGTTCTCTCAAGAGCAGTTCTCAAAGAGCTTTCTCAGCTCAACCTACCTCACAGGGTGTGTGTAATGGGAAGAGGAAGGGAAGGAGATTGTAAGCCACTCGGAGTGAAGGGCGGGGTATAAATCCAATCTCTTCTCCTCCTCCTTCTCTTAATTTATCCAAATATCTGTTTCCTGCTTGGAGGGGGGTGGAGACTGGGCTATCCTATGGTTGTTAGCAGGTCCTATTAGCATTTCTTAAGAGGTATCTGAGGTGAGGCTGGAAAGCCATTGAACTTACTTCCCCCTTCCTGCCTGTTCTCTGCCCAGAGAGAAAAGTTTTTAAAAATCTCTTGGTAAAGGTTTTACTCAGGTCAGACCTCTATCTAGAAAAAGGCATTTCTTCACAAAAAGTATTAAGAGAATGCAAATCACTTTCACAAGTCCCTGTAAACCTGTATACTTAGTTTAAGTACATTTCAGTTGAAAGGACACTTGATCTGACTTAGTACAACTGACTTAGACTTTTGAGAATATCCTCTTCTGTTTTAACACTTTTGAGAAGTGTCTGCTGTAATTTAGAATTTGGATAGACATCAGCAACTGCTGATGTGGCAACGGAGACAAAGCATTCCTTCCTGCTTCTGTCAGCAGTGTGCATTCATAGTTTAAAGGTCAAAGCAATTGAAATACTTAGATCATTGAGGATGTGTGCTACATCTAAACACTGAATTTTTTAATGATCTTACATATGCCCCAAGGTTTACTCCAGTTGCTGCTGTCAGTGGTGAGAAAATGGAAATTAAGGAATCCTACAACAATGTATCTCTTAGTGTGAGCATTAGGGGTGTGCAAAAAATAAAAGGTATTTTTCAGTTTTGGGTATATCAGACCCAGGAAATATTCAGTACTGCCCAATATATTCGGATCTGGTATGCTCAACAGGAGGAAAGGGAGGCATGTTAACCTTCTTTCCCTCCTGAAGCCTCTGCAGCTTTCCTTGTCAATTTCACTCTCCGCCAGTCAGCTGTTAGGTTTAAGCCATTTAAACCTAACAGCAGGCAGGGCATGGGAGTGAAACTGACCAGGGAAAGGCTCCTCTCTCTGGGGTAGCTGGAGAAGAGAAGGCAGGGAGCCCAGGCATGTTTCCATGCCTGTCCTTGGCTTCCCAGCCTGTCCCCCGCCACCAATCAGTTGGGGAATCCAAGGGAAGACATGGAAACATGCATCCTTTCCTTCCTGAGTCTCTCCACAGCAGCTCAGGGAGGGAAGGAAAGGCATTTAAACATTCCTGCATTGAGATTTCCTTCCCTCCCTGAGTCTCTCCGCACAGTGGATCAGCTGGGAAGTCAAGGGCAGGCATGGAAAAATGCCTGAGCTTCCTGCCAGCCCTTCTCCAGCTTCTCCGCAGCTGCAGAACAGCAGGCAAAGACAGCTCAGGCATGTTTAAATGCCTTTCCTTCCCTCCCTGAGTTTCTCTGCAGCAGCAGAGAGGCTCAGGGAGGGAATGAGGCATTTTTCCATGCCTTCCGTTGGCTTCCCCAGCTGACCCACTGTAGCGGGCCAGCTGGGAAACCAAGGGCAGGCATGGAAACATGCCTGGGCTCCCTGCCTGTCCTCTCCAGTCATTCCGCAGCCACGGAGTGGCTGGAGAAGGGCAGGCAGAGACACGGTGGGCATGATTAAATGCCTTTCTTTCCCTCCCCGTATTCGGGGAGGTAAAGAAAGGCATTTAAATATGGCTGCACTCTCTGCCTGCATTTCTTCATGGTCAGTTTCACTCCCACCTGCCTGTCAGCTGTTAGGTTTAAATGGCTTAAACCTAACAGCTGACTGGTGGGGAGTGAAATTGATGAGGGAAGCCACAGAGGGAGGGAAGTTGGCATTTGGCTACCCAAAAGCCAAATAAATTTGGGGGGAAATTTGGGAAATTATATTTGGTTGCCGAAAATTTTCCTGAATTTGCATTTGGCTTTAGAATACCGAATGAATACTGATAAGGCATTTATTTGGTGTGTGTTTTTTGTTCGGCGAAGCCAAATGCACACCCCTAGTGAGCATTCCAGATCTGCCTTGTACAGTTATAATTATTAAGAATGTATTTGGGCTAGTGAGTTCCTGCTAAGTACACTTTCCCCACTGCCTCCTGCTGCCATATGTTAATTACAGTTATAATTATTAAGAATGCATTTGGGCTAGTGTTTATCCAGAGAGTTCCTGCTAAGTACCAAAGACGAGGATATGTGAAGATGCCATGGTCTAACACATCTGATGAAGGTTGCAGTGTTCCCAGGTTTTGTTCGTTGTTGTTGTTTGTTTTGCTTTTGGGCAATTGGGAACTTTGGGGGAATGTTGAAATATAATCCTGTAAAATATATATTTTTTGTGACTCAATGAAATGATTTTTAAGATAGATTTTTAGTCAAATCATATAGCATGAAAAATTATGTAAGATAATCTACAGCATTAAAGGTAAAGGTTTCCCTTCCTCGAAAGCCAGTCGAATCTGACTCTAGGGTACGGTACTCATCTCCGTTTCCAAGCCAAAGAGCCAGTGCTGTCTGGAGACGTTTCCATGGTCATGTGGCCGGCATGACTAGATGCCAAGGCTCATGGAATACTGTTACCTTCCCACCAAAGCAGTACCTATTTATCTACTTGCAATTTCTTGCTTTTGAACTGCTAGGTTGACAGGAGCTGGGACCAGAGACCAGAACTCACTCCGTCATGCAGCACTCGGGTCTCAAACTGCTGAACTACTGACCTTCCTTTCTGTAGTTCAGCATCTTAACCACTGAGCCACCGCAGCCCCAATCTACAGCATTAGCTAGTGGCAATTCCTATGTGTACTTTAGTCATCTACAACCTATTTTGAAGGAGATGGTTATTGTTAAATGTGAATAATTTGCGGAACAATTAATATGTTTAACAAATTTAAAAAATCGTTATAATGTTACAAAGTTTATACCTGTTGCAGCTGTGGGCTAAGGTATACTTTGGCCACAGGTCAAGTCAGGCTTCTGCCAACTCAACTCATTTTCCCTGCAGCTCCTCAGTAGCTGTGGACAGCTTACTTTACCAAGCATTGCAGGGCCCTATTCAGATCAGAACAATGGCATTGGGGGAGGAAGTACTCCATCCACCCCCGTACTGTTTTCCCAAGCCAGAACAACTCTGGGCAAGTGTTATTTGCCCAAGTGGGGGCTGGAAATGCAGTATGAATGCACTGCTGTGCAACTCCACAATGAGGCAAAAAGCACCTGTGGGATTATTTTGTTCTCAGGAACACAGAGCAGAGAGGGAGGCTTGGAGCCCGTTCCATGGTAGCATAGTCCAGAACTATTTTTCCTCTGAATCCTTACTTTGTTCTGATCGGATCATAAGGTTTATATGATTCTTATGGTACAATCATCCCATTAAAAATAATACCTGTCTGAATAATTTAGAAGATAAATATCTCCTCTGATGTAGTCCTAACTATGTCCACTGTTCCTTTGACTGTGATAGGGTAGAGATCCAGTGCAGCTTTATTGCCATGCCATAGTAGACTCTAGAGCTTGCTTCATAGTTGGGTTAGAGTAAGAGCTGTCCTCATTCCTCTTAAATTTAGTCAGAACTGTATGGCAGAGAACACTATTTTTACCATAGAGTGTCTGTTCAGTAGTTTTGTTTGAGGGACTTAATAAAACAGCCTTGTGAAGTTTGGATTGTTTTTTGTCTTCTTTTTAAAGAGGAAGCCCACATATGAAAGGAACACCACACTATAAGGAAGAACAATGTGCCCCATTATTAAATCTAGAGAAGAAGCAAATTTTGGATTTGCAAGCATCTATAACCAGGTACGGTGAATCTTCATTCATATCTGCTTTCAAACATGGCTAATGATATGCTTGATAGCAGTAATCCAGGAAATCACTGGTGGAACATTTAAGGCATGCTAATATGTTATGCGATGTCAAGCACTGAATCAATGTCACATCCAGGGAATGCTTCTACCTTTTTGAGTTTGATTTTAGTCAGTGTGTTAGAACAATGTTTTATGGTTTCTTCTCTATGCCTTGTCAGCTGCTATAGAAATGACCTAATAGAACTTGTGATGATGCACTTATCGGTACCAGTGTTCTTCTCCTCCTTATCAGAAAGTTGACTATTTACTACTGTTTGGTTTTTTGTAATTAACAGGGTCCTTAATTTTTATTTTTGCTGAAAAAAGTATGTTACTATGTCCTGTTTGGGAAGTTCCCCAAACCTCCATTAAAGAATGAATTAAAAATCACAGGCTGAATTATATTGTATCCTTCTAGGACAAGAGACCTGAATTATATTAAATATAATTTGTGATTGGTCTTCACTGCCTGTAGTACCTACTGTATCTTTCTTGTAGCTTACAGTCCATGTTGGAAGATCTACTTGTTGCTACTGTTGATGGGCTGCTTCATCTAATTCACTGGGATGGTGTGATAAATGGAAGGAAAGCCATAAACCTCTGTACAGTACCATTTTCCGTGGATCTCCATTCTTCTAGAGGTATTTCTTATTTAACTCCTGTTGTTTATAAAGAGAGGAGAATACTTTAGAAGGGAGCCTACCTTTTCTGTGAAAGTAGAGCTAATGAAGGCCAAGAAGACAGTTTGAAATATGGCAGTCAAAATTGTTAATTTTTCTATTACTAGGTTCATTTTTGGGATTTGAGGATGTGCACATCAGAGATATGGAATACTGTGCTACGCTTGATGGGTTTGCTGTTGTGTTTAGTGATGGCAGAGTTGGTTTTATTACACCAATGTCAAGTGGATTCACAGCAGAGGTATGATTTTTTTATACTGCACTAGCACATCATTAGTTGGTTGCTCAAATTTTATAAGTTAATTTAATATTCTGTCTTATTCTCTTAGTAAATTATGACTGAGAAACTGTGAAATATGCATTCAACCAATTTTTGCAGGAATATTGGCAAATAGATTTTAAAAAGTATTATCCCAAACTGTTCATCAAGATCAAGCTGGCTTTCTGCCCAAGAGACAAATGAAAAACAACTTACGAATAATCATAGATGTGTTAGAGTATTATGAAGAAGACTCGGATAAAGAACTTACATTAATGTTTCTTGACGCGGAAAAAGCCTTCGATAATTTATCATGGGAATTTTTACTACAGAAACTAAACAGTGCAGAATATGGACAATATTTTTATACAATGGTCAAACCAGTTTACAACAAACAATATGCAAAAGTAATAGTAAATGGAGATGTAACTAACACGATAGAAATGCAGAAGGGTTCTAGACAGGGATGTCCGATTTCGCCATTATTATTTATTTTCGCACTAGAATCTTTAAATAATGCAACAAGGAATGATACACAGATAGAAGGGCTAAAAATAAGAGGTGAAGAATATAAATTGCAGGCATTCACAGATGGCCTGGTGTTTATTTTTGAAAATCCAGAAACATCAATTATCCACTTGATGGAAACTATTAAAAACTATGGGCAAGTGGCAGGACTTAAGATTAATCATAAAAAATCCAAAATAATAACTAAAAATTGCTCTCCAAGGACTTTAGAATTAATACAAGAATTAACTAACATGGAAGTGGTTAAAAAAGTAAAATATTTGGGAATTAATGTATCTAACAAATGTAATTCACTAATAGAAGACAATTATTATAAGTTATTGAAAGAAATTGCTACAGACTTGACTAAATGGAAGAATATTCCGTTATCACTGATGGGTAGAATAGCGCTGATAAAGATGAACTTTTTACCAAGATTCTTATTCTTAGCTCAAAGTATACCGGTCTTAAAAAAACAAAATATCTTTGAAGAGCTGAATAAAATTACAAGACAATTTATATGGCAATATAAGAGACCCAGAATAAAATGGAATGTGATGCAGGATAGAAAGGAAAGAGGGGGAATGTATGTTCCTAATTGGTATATATACTACCAAGCGGCCACCCTAGTTTGGATAAAAGAATGGATAACATTGGAAAATACAAGGATTTTGGCATTAGAAGGGCATGATTTGTATATGGGGTGGCACGCGTATATATGGTATGAAAAAGATAAAATCCATTCAAACTTTGAAAGACACACGTTAAGAGGAGCACTGAATAACATATGGAGAAATATAAAAAGAATATTCTATAGGAAAACTCCAAGATGGGTCTCCCCTCTAGAAGCTTTTATTAATCCCTCATTAATAACAATGAGTAAGAAAGAAAGCTATCAAATCCTGCTAAGTAGAAACAATAAATTAAAAACAGAAGAAAAATTACAACAAGAAAATAACTTATCATGGTGGGAGTAGATAATGTTACGAGACAAATATAAAAAAGATATGTTAAGGGGATTTGAAGATCAGAATAATGAACTGGATAAAATTTGGTTGTCCTCGAATGATAAATTAATACAGAAATTATATAAGCTTTATTGGATGAGTATGAACAAGACGAAACAATTAAAACTGTTATGTTAACCTGGATGAAAGATGTAGGAGAGAATATAGAATGGGAGCAATGGTCAAAAATTTGGAAAACTATTAAATATATGAAAGCCATTTCATACAAGGAAAATGTATATAAAATGTTCCACAGATGGTACTGGTCCCTGGATAAAATAGCAAAATGTTATTCCGGGTAGCCCAACTTATGTTGGAAGTGCAAATCGAATATAGGGACCTTCTACCATATGTGGTGGAAATGTAATAAAATACAAGGTTACTGGAAAATGGTATGGAAGATACTAATTCAAGAAATTCTGGAAAAAAATTTAGCACTAAAACCTGAAATATACCTGTTAAATATAATCCCGGAGGGATATAAAGTGCAAGAAGTTTATTTAATAGTTTATATAATGACTGTTTATGAAAAGTCTTAGAAGATGATGCTGTTAAAGTGCTGCACTCCATTTGCCAGCAAATTTGGAAAACGCAACAGTGGCCACAATCTGAGTTTGAAACTAAAAAATAAAAATGAGAAGGTACATGAGAAGAGATGATTAAAGGTATATAAGTGGCTTGAAAATTTGTTTAGCGAGTAAGGACTCTACTATATATGTAAGATGTACAGATGGAATGTCTGATTTGTAAAACTGAAAATAAAAATTTAAATTAATTTTTTTTATAAGTTAATTAAATATTCTGTCTTATTCTCTTAGTAAGTTATGACTGAGAAACTGTGAAATATGCATTCAACCAATGTGGTTTAGTGAAGAAATATATTAAGGCAAAACCTAGAACTAAATGAGTTTTTTTTAACTTTGCTGCTGTTCTTTTTGTAGGTTTTCTGTATTCATCGATATGTTAAATCTAACTGAATTGAAAGTTAGTACAAGATAAATATTTCATAAGTAACACTTAGAATAAGTACAAAGTGCTTTTTGATGTGCAGATGCAATTTGTATAGTTAAGACTGCAGTATTCGTATTTGCTTTCTAGCATTCATTCTGTGTGATCTGCCCAAATTTAATTTATATTCTACTGTCACATTTTATATCATATGGATTAATTATTTTTTAAAAATATTCACATGCTGAGCTTAAAACATATTTCTCCTTCAGGTACTATACAGGTGCATTTTGAACTTTTTTGTACTTTTCTGGGTTCTTTTACTTCTGGTCATTGTGATCTATGTTTTATTACATTTCTCTGTTAGCTATCTTCAGTGGAATGAACATATATTGGTTTCTGGAAAGTCTCCCAAAGCTGCTTAACTTCAGCAGAGTTGCTGCATTATGTATGGCTGAGATCGTGAAAAAATATTAATATCCAGGGGTCATTTTGTAGAAAAAGAGGTGCAGAAGCTCATTAGCATAATTTATTTGCATATGCCACATCCCCTGACATCACCGGAAGTGTGTCAGAAGGCAACACCCACCACTCAGGCTCCACTGGACTGTTTTGGATTACTAGCTATTGGGGGGGGGAGAACATGGAGATCTGTCGTCGCAGAGGAGGGAGAGCTTGTACCTGAATTAAAACCTGGTCTCAAAGGTGCCACTGGACTGTTTTGGGCCGGGGGGGTAGGGGGGGGCTCTGCAACTTACCTGGCTCCTTCTTGCTCTGATTGAGGGCTGCTGGGAGCAGGCTTGTTGCATGTGCCCGCCCCCTGGGCTCTTTACTGCCGGAGCTCCGTTCCTGTGCGCTCCTGCAGGAAATGACCCCTGTTAATATCAATCTTGTTAATATTTGTTTATTAAAACCTGTGTTTTAATATACAGATTTGGAAGTTAATTCTACTGTTTTGTTGAGCTGAATAGTTAAGTACTGCCTTGCTTCCAAAGACCTGAATTGAGATAAGACAAATCTGACATATAATATTTCCCTTTGTGAAGGTATTTTGTTAACAGCAGCATCACACTTTATAGCATCCTTAAGGAAAAGATGGTTTCCTTGTGGAAAACTGTAACGCGTAAAGATTGCTAAATCCAGTGAAATGTGGTATGCTATGGGTTTTGACAAAACTTTAATATAATTCTGAGCTGCCTTTCCACCTACCAAGATGCTCAAAGCTGTTTATGAAAAGATAAAATGCAAAATGACATCATAATTTACTGTACTTCACATTTGTATAGCTGGGATCCAAGTGTGTTTCAGTACAAATGGTTTAAGTTGCCCTTTTGAAAAGCTGCCTCTGGGTTTGAGGGAGCCTCTGGAGTGGCATTCTACAAGGGGTAGAAAGGCCTGCCATCAGCAGAAAATGTTGCCTTTCCCTCACATCCTAGCAGATGTGCTTGCTCTTTGGGGAATGGGGTTGGGAGAGAGGTACAAGGAACAATACTGCTGCTTTTAAAAATAGAGATAAATAGTGACGTGAACAATTTGTATAAGGAAAATTGGTCTCAGTTCTTGTTGGAAGCTTATTTGAAAGGTCCTTGCAATCAGCAGTGCTTGTGCCTTGTGAACTTAAATTTAAGAAAAGCTTCTCAATATGATGGCTTTGTCTGGAGTATGCTCTGTTCCAGACTAAACAAGTGTCTTTACATAAAATCTTTTATAACATATCTTACAGCAGCTCCATGGTGTTTGGGCACAGGATGTTCTGGATGGAACCTGTGTGGCTGTAAACAACAAATACCAATTAATGGCATTTGGATGTGCAAAGTAAGTTATCTGTCTCAACTGTGAATCTGAAGGGAAGGAAAATTGGTGTTCCTTTATACTATGTTTGCCTTTAAGCAAAGCTTAATTTTTTAAAAACAATTTCTGAACCTCTGATTAGGAGTGGTCCTGTTGATTTTTTTTTCAATCTTGTTTAAAGAAAAATAGAAAATACGCCTTGTCTTGGAAAAAGTCTTTTTGGAAGTATTTATTAATGAAATAAAGCATTTTGCAAATCACATGCTAGGCTTGGGGGAAAAGACTCACCTGTCATTTGTCTATCTTCAGTAGCCACCATGGCAAAGTAAACTTTTAAATTCCTCACACAGGTATACTGTCTAAACATGTTACGTATCAGTGACCTGGAACTTAATTGTCACTACTAAAAAGTATAGTATGTTGTTAAACATCTTTTTATCTTCATCTTTATTAGTGGCCCATTTGCTGGGATACTATGTTCTTCCAATGCTATTTTTGGGAGAGTATTTCAATTAAATTTACTATTCTGTCCTGGAAATTATCTGTCTGAGATTAAAAATGTGGCTGCCTCTGAGATCTCTCAAGCTACTTTGTATGGTGGTTTGCCCTCTTCTCTTTGTGCTTCCCTTCTCCTATCCCAAATTGAGAAAGAACATTATAAAAAACGTTTGACACAAGCGTTCCGTATTTCTGAGATGGGTAGATTTTTTTCCTTCCTCATTTGATAATTAGGATGCTTGAACTACACTATTAGGATTCATAACTTAGTACTGGATGTTAATGTCTGGCTAGCAAATAAATGCTCTTTTAGGTTAGTGCCAGTACATTATGGAAGACATGAGAGTGGAGCTGTAGAGACGCAACAGCAGCAATGTAGGCAGATACAATGGAAATCAGTTCATTTCCAAAACGAGCAAAGTCTCATTTTGTAAGTCTGTAAAGGTATCTAACCCCTTCTCTATTATAAGCACAGCTGAGTGACTTTCAGCTCCATTCTACAACCCTGATGCCACTAGTCAGTATCCTGTGCTTTCTTCACAGAGAAGAAATAACTGACAAATGCCCTTGGCAAGCCACAGAGAGCATAGTGATAGCAGGCTAGTCATAAATGCCAGTGCCCACACAACAGGGACAACACATTGACATACCTCCCCTGACCAGCGTTCAGGTGCCTCTGCTCATACATGGAATACACCAAGGGTGGGAAGAAAGCACCTTCCTCTGGAAGGAGCTCCATGGCATGACTGGCCAGGGCCCTGGCATGAACATACCATAGGATTCAGGGCGCCATATGTGGCCAAGTTACCTTTTGCCAGGCGAGGGGAATGCAGACCCTGGAACACACAATTGCTCATTCACAAAATCATTCCTGTCAACTTCCTGAGCATTCACTGGGAAAAGACACCCATGAGACAAATGAAAGCAATGGATTCTGTGCCCTACAAGGGGGGATGCTGGTCAGAAGGCAAATCTCACCTTTTGCCCAGCAGCAGCAAAACAGCAGGGAGAGCTTGGATGAGAATCCATACTTTATAATGGGAATGGTGTCTTGGCCTCTTGTACCTTGGTTGGCTACCTCCAAAGAGTTTAGAGATATGCAGGAATATTTATGAGTAATGTTCTGCAGTAGCAGCAAAGAGCAATGGGACCATTGGTGTTATATCCCAAAGCCATTCTCTAGAAAGACAAAAAAATACCAAGTTGAGGTGTTTCTTACTGCTTTACTATGACACTGTTTTTCATATTTTAACGATACCATATGCTACTTTCTTTAAAATATGCAACCAACCATTGTTGAAAATCTCAGCTGAGGTAATGTTGTATGGGCCCCCAAGCCAAAATAATTTGAGAGTAGTTGGAATATAATGAATATTTGAAACAGGCATTTAAAATGGTGAAAGTTTAAGATACTCAATCTTAAAAATTAAAGTGTGTGATATATGTGGCTATGATGTGTACAGAATACATATTCTTAAAGGAATGTCTAAAAATGCGAAACAGATTTTATAATTGCTTTCAATGTTCAAGTAGAGAATTTCCTTTTATGATCCCTACCATAAAATCATCATTTGAACTGGATAAGAGCTGCATGTAAACAAGTAACTTAGACTGAAGCAGGCACAGGGCCATTTTTTAAAGAAATGCATGCAAACTAATTTTTGGTATGTAGCAAGAGAATTATGATTATATATTGATGTCTTTCACCTACTGATGGGTAGTACTTGGTTAGCTGTGTACTACAGTGCAGGAATGACTTGCAGGGTTATGCTGCGCCTTCAAATTGTATTGTTGGAGGCATTTCCTATTGAGATGTTAACAAAATCTGTGGATGTGGTGAAATACCCACTGAATGAACAGAAGAAATGGACAGATAAAAATCTCTGTTCTTCTGGAAAATAGATGGAGGAAGCAGTGTAAATTCAGCTGTTGTCTAATGTTTGTTTTCATTTATTTTCAAGGGTCATGTCCTGCCTTTCTACTAGCATTTAGGACTTCAGGTTGGCTTGCCAATAAGTTTAAATTAGAATGCCCTCCTCTCTGAATGATATTAGTGGAAGTTCTTACACCTGGGCCGGTAGTACAGCATATGGCAATGCCTGACTTAGAGTGGGAGTGGGAAGAAGAATACCATAAGAGCTGCTCTGCTGGCTTAGACTAGTGGTTCATCTTGTCCAGCATCCTGTTTCTCACAGTGCCAGTCAGTGGTCCTGAAAAGCCAAACAGATCACAGGGCACAGAGATCAAGCCCACACAGTTCTTCCGGAAGATAAGCTTGATGTTGTGCTCTGTTGCACTTGCTCTATAAACACTGAGTCCCAGAAGAAATACCTACACTGTCAAACTGATTAGTGGAGATAATCTACAGCATGAACTTCAACAGATCAGTATAGATTAGAGGTTGCTGTCTTTGATCAAAGCAGGTCTTTTATTCTTGTTTGGTTTTCAGAGTGACTAAAAGGTCCAGAGGTTTTCAGATCTTAGTCTGGAAATATTTGTAGAATTAAAAAAGACAAAAAAACCCTCTTTACACTAGAAAGCACTAACATTTGTTTCAACTAATGTTGGGAGAAATAATTTATGGATTTATGCTGATTAATTCTGAATTTTGAGAGCCATGGTTATTTTTTACTCTGAAAATATTTTTAAAAATAAATGGTACATAATGTTCTTTTTTTAAAAAAAATCCACCCTCTTCTCTTCCCTCCCAGTCCTTTCATCACCACTTATAATTTTTAATTGCTTAAGGCTCTGATCAGGTCTATAACTGAAATGAATCTTGTAAGCTAGTTTCCTTTGCCCTCCTTTGAGACTATGTTGCCATGCTGAGTTATTTGTCCTAGTAAGAAGGAGGGAGGCTACAGAAAAAAAGACCAATGAAATCACAAATCTGTAGTCAAAGCACGCTAAATAAATGCAACAATAATTATATGGAAAGCAAAGTCAATAATAATGCTAAACTCATACATATAATATTGTAGAATCACAAACATAATAAAGAACAATTATCCAAAAGTGGGTGGTAACAAACTCAAACCCACAATAAGTCACAGCATATCTCAAAAGCAGCAGACTTCCTTCATAAATAGAACAAGCACACAGAGGAAAAAAATTCTTTATATTAATATCACATGTCCTTGAATTGAAGTCCAAACAGTTATATACTGTGGCTTGTAGTAAATAAGAACCGTTCCAAGTAGAAACTACGCAGTTCCGGATAATATAATCAGTGTTTCAGATCTATTCCTTCGTCAGGTAAATCAGGTACGTCTTCGTTAATGTACAATAAATACACATGTATAAGCGAGGTCCTGATCAAAATATTCCAATTAGGCACAGCTCCATATATCTTGCAAGTTGGAGAGGTAATGGAGCTGTGCCTAATTGGAATATTTTGATCGGGACCTCACTTATACATGTGTATTTATTGTACTTTAATGAAGATTTACCTGATTTATCTAAGGAATAGATCTGAAATGCTGATTATATTATCCAGAACTGCATAGTTTCTACATGGAACGGATCTTATTTACTACAAGCCACCATATATAACTGTTTGGACTTCAATTCAAGGACTTCTGGTATTTATATAAACATTTTTTTTTCTCTGTGTGCTTGTTCTATTTATGAAGGAAGTCTGCTGCTTTTGAGATATGCTGTGACTTATTGTGGGTTTGAGTTTGTTACCACCCACTTCTTTATTATGTTTGTGATTCTACAATTTTTTATATATAAGCGTTCCGTGCACCTTGGTGTTTAGTCATGCCAGCCACATGACCACGGAAAACGTCTTCGGACAGCGCTGGCTCTTCGGCTTTGAAATGGAGATGAGCACCGCAACCCTAGAGTCGGACTCGACTGGCTTTCAAGCAAGGGAACCTTTACCTTTATATATATATGCTTTGACTACAGATTTGTTTGTGATTTCATTGGAGTTATTTGTCTGAGCCTAAACTCCTTCCCTACAACCCTACACTTCCAGTCCATCTCTCTGTCCTGTCCAAATCCATAAAAATCTCAGTAGAATGGTGGTCTCTCTGCATGTTAAAGGACTCCAGAGTCATGCTTGTATAAAAACAGCCAAAGAATCCTAATACTGTTTGTTTGATTACTGATAACATGAACAGGCAGGGCGGGTGAGTGGGGTTGAAAGCTGAAGGTCACAGTATTTTACTTATAATATGTTTAACTATTTTTTTTCAAAAAAAGTAAATGACATTAAAATGTAATGGGCAAAGAATATTTAAAAGAGTAAAATGTATAAAAACAGAAAATATAAGACTACATGTATTTTTCTTAACAGTTTGGATAAGATAAATTTTGTGTTCTTTGTAGCCTAATTTGTGTTTTGGATTGGATGAACTTGGTGCATATGAACTAGAGTATGTCGGGGGGGAGCATGAACTTTCCCAGTCTTGCATGAAAAATAAAAACATTAAGTGTTCACAAATGGCATATTCTTTTCCAGTGGTTCAGTGCAAGTTTATACAATAGATAATTCCACTGGGGCCATGCAGCTGTCTCATAAACTGGAGCTAACACCCAAGCAGTATCCTGGTGAGTTTTTTTTAATATAAACGTTTAGCAAGTTAACAGTTTAGCAAATGCTGACAATTCATAATGGCACCAACCTTGAAGACTATGCTACATTATTAGAAATACAGGTAGATTTATATGTCATCATGTGTATGTCATGTATGGGTTTAAGCAAATGAAAATGTTTTTATTGTCCTCCACGTTTTTACATTTACTCCAAAATATTTTCAAATTTTTACTGTCTTTGTGGCTGTACAATAAATGCATTTTAGAACTCCACGTTTTACTGAATGTGTTATAGATAACTATTTGATGAAGAAAAATGTGTGCAATCTATTCTAGTATTAAAAAATGCTTGTGTTCAGAAAATATGTGAGGATATATATGCTGTGTGTTTCACATACAGTTGTATTGAATGGCAGTGGATGGAATGAATATCCAAAATGAAATAGTTGAATTAAGTACAAAAGATCTGGACAAGCAAAGGGATGTTCATTCATCTGTTTCACTGAGTTATTATGAATTCCAGGGCAGGTTCTCATGTGTATGTGTCACTTGAAGATTGCAAAATCAAGTGATGCTTACATGTCTGAATGGGCTATCACACAACTTTTTTAGTGTTCCCTTTTAACTCAAAAATATTTCTCAAACAGCTTGTTGGTGGAGTCAATTCACACATTCCATTGTCAGTAATATGAAATTAGTGATATATATGCAGGTGTGTCAAAGAGCCCTAAGAAAGCTCCTATATAAATGAGAGAATTCTTGTTTAATTCTAACCCACCCACCCCTTTGAGACTCATATACTTAGGATTTTTTATATTTGTTTACAAGCTTGAAAGGAATAAAATTGTTGTCTTCTTTCTTGTGATTCTGAATGCTGTTTTTTTTTCCTTCCTCATAAGCAAGTGGTCTTGTAGTTTGCAGTTTTTTATTAGGGTTTGTAGACATCCAGTGTCCAAGATGAAGAAATAGCACATATTACTATAAAGCTTTGATTATAAGAAGAGAATATGACTATTACAATGGATTCCAGTTAGAATCCTCACAGCTGCATTATTATTTTTAAAATTTGTATCCTGTCTTTCTGCTATTTAAAATTTACAAAGCAGTTTACAGCCATAAAAATAAATCAGATAAAAGCCAGAGTAATTAAAAGTATGAAGTCAGCAACAGCTAAAAATATTAAAATCAATTAATACTAATAGATAAGTCAGTCAACAAAACTATAAAATCAGCAAGTATATCAACACTATCAGAAAAAATCCCCTAAATAGATTAACACAAGAGGTCAAGAGAGAGAACTCTCAAATGTCCTCTGGAATGAGTTAGTCCTGACCAGCTTCTGGAAAGTCAAAAATGAGGAGGCAAGGTAGATTTCCTGGGACTTCCACCATTTGGTGTACAGTGCTGAGAAAACCTTGCTCTATGTACTTGCCCATCTCAGGTCTTTCACAGAAGGGATCCTGAGCAGAGCACAGGTAAGTAATCTGAGCTCTTATGGACTGAAGTGATCCTTCAAGTTCCTTGACCCTAAACCATCTAGTCAGGCTATGTTGAATTGTGGACTGGACTGTGCCTCTTGTGTACTAACCATTTAATATGCAAATAATGCCCATCTTTAAAAGGCTTCCAAAAGCCTGTATGTACTTCTCAGTATGCTCATGTGCTGGATTATTTTTCTGTCATAGATATTTGGAACAAAACAGGAGCTGTTAGATTAATCAAATGGTCTCCTGATAGCTGTGTTGTTATGGTGACCTGGGAATATGGCGGACTTTCCTTATGGAGTGTATTTGGTGCTCAGCTGATCTGTACTTTGGGGGGAGATTTTGCGTAAGTATTTTTAAAGCATTATTATGACTGTGAATTGACCCATCTTTTGCTATTGAGCTTTTATTTAAAACATGTATTAATAACAGAATTCTTCCTTGTCCCTAATGTGTAATAGCAGGTGATTTTCTTACACTTTAAATGATCTAGAGTTTAATAAAAATGTGCTGTGTTTTTATTTGTAGCTATCGGTCTGATGGTACCAAAAAGGACCCTCTAAAGATCAGTTCTATGGTAAGCACTATTCAGTGAACAACAGAAAAATACAGTGAAAGCACTTACTGGATTTTATTTAGGGAAATTATATAAGACCACTCTTCTAGTACATAAAAAAGAATGATTCCCCCACTGTATTTGGTATTGTGGCATCTCTTTCTTTTTTGAATTTAGGCATTTTCAGGATTATTCTTTTCATCTAATTTAATCAGGAAAAGTCATTCAAAGTCATTGAGACTTGCTAAAAATATTATGTTCCAGATCTTGGAAGATAGTTTATCTGACTCCATTTTGAAGTTACTTTATGTAGCCAAGGTAGAATATGATGAGATAGTTGAAGAAAGGTGATAGTAGGGAGAAGCCCATCCAGGACTAGCTGGTATATGATAGCCTCATCTGCCAGGGCAGTTCTAATGGCTGGGGCTAGCTCGTGTGTGCTCACTCCAGGGTACTGAGATAATCAGAAGAAGATAGGGCCAAACAGCTGTGGAGAAAAGGAGAAGTTGTCTTTTCAGACATTAAGCAAGCATTGTACATTTTAAACAAACCCCAGATACCCGTGATGTATGAGTACAGTTTTCCAGGTTCACTAGAGTTAGTTCCCCCCACAAACTGATTCTTAACCACAGTTTAATCTAGCTTCAAAATCCTGGTTGATGGGGGAACTCGCTTTGATTAACTCAGGTGATACATTTGTATATTTTAAGTAAATTAGGTTTGTTTGAAACTGGGGCTCTTGCCATCACACTCTGAACAAGAAGAGGAGTGGCGAGAAGCAGAAGTAAGATGTGACCATGCAACTGGCACAAGTTGGGTTCATGCATAGTGTTGGATTACTGTGATACCTGAATGCATTTTTGTAATAGAAACCTGGATTATTGTGTGATGAATTGCTTAGAACACAGGTGTCAAATTCATTTGTTATGAAGGCCAGATCTGACATAAATGAGACCTCATTATGCTGGGCCATATGTGTCAAAAAATGTAATGCCAGGTAGCGGAGATACAAACTTTATAAAGAACACAAACACAAAGGGTTTTTTACTTAAAATAAAAATATGCTTAAAACATTACCACTCTTGCAATATTTTGTTTATTTAACAGTGTCTGATAACTGACACCTCTTGCTCTGAATTACTGCAACATAATGTTTGTGCTGTTGCAACCTTGAGTATGCTGTTCAAGTGTCTATCTGTAAGCTGCAAACCTACTTTTGATTTATTGGTATTCACTACAGAAATCTCATGCTCAGAGTTCTGAGCCTAGGATCCAGGGAAAACATGAAATGGCTGGGCATTGCGAGCTTTTGTACATAAATTGCTCTGTGTGCTGGTCAATAACATGAGAAGGCACCATAGTCTTCCTCAGTGGTCACTATCAGCCTACTATCTGGGAAATCTAAGTTCAAAATCCCCAAAGGAAATGTGCTGGGAGAACTTGGTCTGGACACACACTCTCAGCCTAATCCACCTCACTGGCTTGTAGTTATTCCTCATCTAAATAGTTCACATTGTTTTGCTACGGAGAAAGACTGTATCATGAGGGCATGAATACAGTGAAAAGGGGGCGGGGACCCAGTTGCACCCAGGAGAGCCACAGCATAACGAGCAAGGCACACAAAAGCTCATACCTTGGATAAGACTTTGTTGGTCTCAAAGGTGCTTTGTATTTCTCCCGTGTAATTGAGGCACCCAAGCATAGCAAGGCAGGAGAAAGGGGAGGAGCCTCAGCCATTAGAGGGGAAGAAAGGCTTGGCCAGGAAGCAAGTTCT